TGCCCAGGTTACTTTTCAGGCACTTGAGGCTTACTTTGATGTCATTGTTTTTGATACAGGATCTCCATATGTAGTCACAGCTGCCTTGAACTTTCAATCCTCCTGCCTCAGCTTCCTCAGTGCTGGGATTACAGACGTATACCACCACGCATGGCTTGAAGCTCACTTTTATTGAAACCATTGACCCTTCACCTGGGCTTGCACAGGTTTCCAGTGGGTGACCTTTGGACATCAGAAGGTCAAAAACTTTGGGTCATGTTAATGGCACCATTTTCTGAACATGTATCCTATGAAGAGATAGAAAGGTTGATTATACACGTGCCAACCCGATTGCTTCTTTTCTAAACACCTTCCCCTCACCTTAAACTACCCTACTTTCTTTTTTTTTTTTCTGAAACAGTCTTACCGTGTAGCCCAGGCTGGTCTCCAACTCACAATTCTCTTGCCTCAGCCTGCTGAGTGCTGGGATTATAGGATTCTTTATCCCACGAGTATCAGCAACCCCCACCCTCAAGAAGGCAGGTTTGAGACTTGGTTTTTCATCTCCACACTCTCTTTTGCAAAACTCATTTCAGAGCTGGCATACTGTGCAGTGGGCTAAATGGGCCGGCTTCAAGAACACTGATAGCACATCTTTAGTCTACAAATGTATGCGATAATTTAGATGACCCTACCAGGCAGAAAAATAGATAAGAGTCTACCCCAATCCTGATTTTACTGGATGGTTTGCTGGACTAGCTTTTACAGCCTTAACCTAAATGGTTATTTAAATTTTATTTAATATCCTTCGGCAATGAATCTTTTGAAGAAAAGTTACATGTGGAAATTTGTTACAGCTTGTGAAAATGATTAAAAGGAGAAAGCCAAGTTAGTCACCTCCAAATGTCACAAGGAAGAGAAACTCCAACATCACATGTTCCCAGCCATGATGATTACTAATCCAGGTGGAAAACAGAAAACAGAGATGCAAAGGTCCTGGGAGACACAAGGAGGCTCAGGAAGACCCCTACTGCCCTGGCCCCCAGGGAAGGTGCTTATGGAGAAGGCCTGTGTGCAGTGGATGGCTAGGAAACCCCCTAGCTGGAGGGGTCCTAAGATCCCACAGCTAAAGCCAAGCTTTGTGATGTGATTACTTTGTAATAAAAATGTGGCCATTAAAACTGAAATAATGCCTTTCTTTACTTTTAATAACTCAGGGGTTTGGCTTGCAAAGCAGGCACTCTATCACTTCAGTCACACCTCCAGTCTTTACTCTGGTTATTTTGGAGATGGGGTCTCGAGCTATTTGCCGGGGACTGGCCCGAAACAGATCCTCACAAGCTCAGCTCCCCAAGTAGCGAGGATTATGAGTGTGAGTCACTGGGGCCCAGCCAAAACTGAAATAGTATTTAACTGCTCTGCTGTTGGAGTCATCCTTGTATCCTGTGGTGTAGATCCTTCTCTCCTCTGTCCACCCTCAGTTTGTTTTTGTTTTTGTAGTACTGGGTTTGAACTCATACCTGCTAAGCAGGTCTACCACTTGACCCACTCCTTCATCCACCCAGTTCTTTTTAATGCCAGCAAGTCCTACCCTCACTTCTCTAGCCTGGCCTGCCGGGCCCCTCCAGGGCTGCTTTTGCTCCCTGACACCTGTGCTCATCACCCCTCCCTTCCAAGGCCTGTTCACCTAGGTCTAACACCCCTCTGGGAGAGCAGGGTAGGAGAGGGACACTGGGGCCCAGCATGGGCCCACTGTCTATGCAAGCCACACGTTCATCAAATATTTATTGAGCACCTACTGTACGCTGAGCTCTGTGTTATGCTCCAGGCATGTAGGAGTCTTCAAAGTGGGCAGGGTCCTACCCTCTCAGAGAACATGGTTTTCTAGGGGAAGGGTGGGCTTAGCAGAGCATCCTGAGGTGACACACAGAATGACTCCAGCCAGGTGATGGGTGCCATTGATACTGGGTTGTTGATTCCAAGTTCGTGTCCTGGTGCAGTCAAAGATTAAAGACACTGGACCAGGAGTTAAAAGTAAAGCAAGCACAAAATTTATTGCAAGGGTAGCAAAGCTCCCACATGGACAGGAGGGCTTTAGAAAGTTAAAGCATACTATAGCTCAAGTCTAGGAATGCTAGAGCGCACTAACTGGCTTAGGTACAACTATTCTACCTTGGAACTGTATTTACGATTGGTTGGCGCCAAGTCAGCTTCTCGAAGAACTTAGCCACCTGTTTCTCCTTCTCTTTATCGAATGGTACATTCCAAGAAGGCCTGGTCGGCTCGTCCTGGCCTTGGGGCCTGTAAGGAAATATAAGGCCCCAAAGTGACCATGTGGAGAGGAGTGATCTGGCCAAGAGATTCTTTATTGCTGGGTGGGAGAGGAAGAGAGCAGAAAGAGCCAAGAGAGAGAGGGAGAGAGGGGCAGGGGCTTAAATACCCCTCAGTGGGACTCAGCATGATCTGATTGGTTAGGATCTTATGGTTCATGCTGATTGGAGGTTGGGGCAGAAGGAGGATTCAAGCTAGACTTGAGGCAGGACCGTGATCCTGGAAAACAGAAGCTTAAGGGTGCAGTAAGAACTGAAACCTAGGCGCCATTATTGCCAACAGGGCCCACTACCCATACTGTGCAGCTGCATCTTCTTATTTCCATAAAGGGTTTGTTATTTCTCTGAGAAGTCTGTTGTTTCCCACACCTCTTTAGATGTCTGCTTTTAAAGTGTCTCTCATCCAAAATGGAGTCATCTCTGTCATTGCTCTCCTTACACTATGATCACCCTGCCTGTGGGGTCATGGGGTGACCCTTGCAAGAGCAGGGTCAGGACACTCCTCATGGAAAAGGGGACATTTGACCTGATACTTGAACAATATGCAGGAGCTGGCCCTGATCACCCTGTGGGAACAGCCTGTTCAAAAGCCTTGAGATGGTACCGGGCTGAGCTGCTGCAGCAACCAGAAGGCCTGTTCTACTGGCAACATGCCCGGGGACGCGATTTCAGATCTAGCCAGGCAAAGCCAGCTCCTACTGGCCTCTGAGGTCTGGTGGAAGGGCCAGATAGGTTTTATTTTAGAGTTGATCAAGGAGTGAGCCATCTTCGTCCCTTTGCGGGGGTGGCGGGAGTGCAAAAGAGGCCTAGAGAAGCTCAGTGCCCAGCCCGAGGCCGCACAGCGCCAGAAAGACGACGAGCTCTGCTGAATGGTGCCCAGTTTGCACACCCCTGGCCACCAATAAGCGCCGCAGCCCTCGCCCCCACCTTTGCGGGCGGAAGTGGGCGGGGCGTCCCAGTGCCCGCCCCCCGCCCCCCCCCCCGCCTCGCGCCCCACCAGCCCCTCCTCCGAGGTGATGCGGCCAGGCCGGACCTGGGCGGGTGCTGGGGCGGCGGCTGACGGTCTGTGTAGCGGCGGAGCGAGCGCTGCGCGGCGCCACCAACGCCACCGCCACCGCCACCACCACCACCACCACCACCATGGGGGCCCAGCTGAGCACGGTAGGCGGGAGCGGCGCGGCAGCAGCGAGCGACGCAAGGACCTGTGGGCCCCGGGCCTCGGCTCGCGCGGCGCCGCACGGCCGGGTGACCTCGAGGGGGTGGGGTCGGCCACCAGGAGCCGGCACTGGGCGACCCCTCCTCCCCGACGCCCTTCCTTCTTGGCGCCCCCGAACCCCCGTCCCCGGGTCCCCTCCTCCCCCCGCGCGCCGCGCCCACCCCGATGGCCGCGCTGGCCCCGCCCCAGCTCGGGCGGCGCCCCGGGGACCGTGACTCACGCGATGGCCTCCGGCGGCGGGACTCGGCCCCCGTGCACAAGGGCGTACAGCAGACCGAGAGGCCGAGCCAGGGGCGGGCACAGGGGAAGCCTGTGGGTGTGCGTGAGCGTGTGGCGGCGTGAGTGGGACAGAGAGTGTGTGCATCAGCGAGTGGGCGTGGGACCTGTGAAAGTAAGTTTGACTGTGACTAAGCACATGCGAATGTGAAGTGCGTGCATATTTGCGCGCGTGCACGTGGGTTTATGACTGTGAACTTGGGCATGTGAACATGAGGTGCGGACTGTGCATGGGCGTGAAGTGAGCATGAAAATGAGTGGGGGAGAGTAGTGTGGATGCGTGTGAATGGTTGTGTCTGAGTAAATGGTGAAGATGTGAGTGGGGTATATGTGGGCGTGAGTACATGTGTGCCATGTCACTGGACCAGAGGGCCTGGGCACACCTTTTTGCTGTAAGAAGGCTGGTAGCTGACTGCACTGTTGGTTCTGTCCCCTCTGGACACTGAGCAGGCTTTGATCACCTTGTTACCCATCAAAACCTAACACCTTTGACAGAGTGTCTGTGGCCCTATGCTGCAGATGAAGAAATGCCACTCAGACTGGCTCCTGACCTGCAGTGCTGGTGGAAGCAGGACCTGTGGGTTCCCTCATGCTGTCACTTTGGTCCGCCCAGGGCCTCAAGCCCCCACCCCCAACCCCACCCCTGACTGCCTCCTGTCTCTGATTTCTCAAAAACATCCATAGTGGAGGTGATGCACCCCGCACACGCACACAACCTGGCCCCTGGGTACCACGGCTCACTGGGCTGTGGGAAGGCCTGAGGAGGGGTAGGCCAGGGCTGACTTGTCTGGTACCTATCTCCTCCCTCTGGGCTGCAGGCCTCTTCCTTGGGGAGCCAGACAAGAGGCCTCTTGGCCTAGTGTTTACTCTTGAGAGTGTAACTAACTTAGGACCTCTGGGGCATTCAGTCTCAGAGGCAGGCTTACCCAGGGCATCCCTGTGGCATCTCCCAGCCCCAGAGTAACATCCCTGATCAGCTTCCCCAGAGACTGCCCTCCTGCTTCCTAGTTCTAAGGTGTGGATCTGAGGCCCTTCTCATGCCCCACTCTTGGCCCTGGCCCTGCTCTGCTTTTCTGGGGCTTCTCACCTCTGGCTGGTGTTGGTGTGTTGGTTGAGCCCTGCAGCAGCTGGCTGCTCCATGCATTTTTGTTGAACCGTCTAGTTGTCCCCTTGTGAGGGGCAGAGCCCTCTCAGGAGACCACCAACCCTGGCTTCATCTGTCCAAGGGGTTCTTGGGACTGACCCTTCCTTGCGGGCCCTGCTGGAATCCCCGCTTGGCCCCAAATGCCTGCAGCACACTCAAGCCAGGCCTGATCTGGAGGTTCCGCAGGCTCTTTGGGTGGCTGCTGGGCGTCTTGTGTCTTCTTATCTGGGCCATGCAGGCCTGGTGGGAGTCCTCCTTCACATACTGGGGGGCCCGGCCAGGAGTTGGCACTTGAATCTGCTAGTCATCTGGAAAGAACGTTGGGGGCTTGGCCTGCCATCCTGCACTTTGGTTGTCGTGCCTCCCAGTCAGCTGTCGTGCCCTGCAAGCCCTGACAGACCCACACCACAGGTAGAGCATACAAGGTGTTCCCACTGGCCTCTGGTGGCTCCATGCTTAGATGGTAGCCTAGCCCCTCCACCCCCAGGAAAACAGGGCTGTGTCTCCCCAGAGAGGGCAGCTTGGCTGTCCATCTGCCTATCATCCTGGTTTTTCTTCTCCTTTAGTTCCTAGCCCAGCCCAGAGGCCCACTGCCAGGACTTCCTCCACTTCCTCCCACTTAGAATGAGACCAGGGAGAGAGAGGTAGTCACTCAGATTCTGGTGGGACAGCAGGCGTGTAGGCAGTGGGCAGGTAAACAAGTGGCTTACTGGTTTGTCCAGGCCCCAGGTCAGGGAGCTGGCACCTGGGAAGGCCTGGACTCTACCCACCCCAGACCTGGCTTGGGCATAGTGGATGCCAGGGTCCCACTGGGGAATGACAGGGGAGAGTGACTGGGCAGGGCATCCTGTGGTTGGGGAGAAGACTCTGCAGCCTTTGGCCATGGCGAGTGAGCTCACCATGGGATGTCTGGAGACCCTGGACCCAGTTTGCTTCCACCCTTCCGTGGAGGATGGAGCATGGCCTTCAGGGTGTCAGTTTAGAGCCTGGGAAGCAGATACTCCCAGGATCCACCTGGTGGCTGGGGGGAGGTGGTATGTGCTGAGAGGAGCTGGGGGCAAGGCCTTGGCCTCAGCCATCTGCCTCCTGTTTACTTGGCTGGTGTTAGTGGGGGTGGGGATGGTGCCATAGACCGAGATGGGAGCAGAGCCTGTTCCGCTCCATTGTCTGTGAGAACAGAACGCACTCCACTCCCTCGTGAGTCTGGTCTGGCCTCTAACTTTTGGAGACCAAGCCTTCACCCTCCCTTGCTCCTGGCCATGGTACTCCCTCCCCTCTGCCCAAGTGTGCCTCTCATTCTAACTTGAGTTTCTCAGTGGTGGAGTTTCTTGTCCTGTGTCCACCACATCAGGTACATCATTGCCCACTGGAGTTTGTGGACTGAGTGATTGACAGATAGCAATGGTCTGCCTGCAGCTGCCTCCCCATATAGGATTATTTATTTACTTATGGAGGCACTAGGGTTTGAACTCAGGACCCATGCTTGCTAGGCAGGCACTGTACTGTTTGAGCCACACCTCCAACTCAAGACAGAATTGTTTTTTCTTTTTTTCTTGGCGGTACTGGGGTTTGAATTCAGGGTTTCACGGTTGCTAGGCAGGCGCTCTTAATTGCTTGAGCCACTCCATCAGCCCCAAGGTAGAAATTCTTACACAGATAAAAAAAATCTATCTCCTCCCTTTCAGTGGCCAGACGTGTACCAGCTTAGGCCTGTTACCTGTTCCCCAGTTTCCTCAACTGAGATGGGAGCAAGTGGCCCCTCCCTCTATCTATTGCAGCCTGGTGGTTAAGCCAGGCAACAGGGGCAGGGTAGCTGCCTTTGCTCTGTAGGCCTGGCCCTGCAGGCAGGCAAGACAGCACTGGGTCCTAGACAGCCTCCCATGCCTGTGCAGTTCGTGGACAAACAGGATGGGCTGAACCCCACCCTCACCCAGGAGCATTCTGGGCTCTTGCCCTGGTTCTGGAAACTTCCAGACAAAATGAAAAAGAGTCAGAGAGACATGGGGGTGGGGACTGTTGTCCCTTCATTGATTCATTCCACACATATTTGCCGAGTGCCTTCTACATCAAGGAAGGCACTTGATAGCAGTGACAAGATAGCTTCTGGATTACCTGGAAATGTGGGGAGCTGGTGCGGCAGGTGGCCAAGTCCAGGGCTGGCATCCAGGTTGTAGGAATCCGGGTTTGGTGGAGGACCTGTGTAAGGACCCAGGCCAGGCTTCTGGGATCTGCCTAGGAGCCCCTAACACCTGAGTGCTTTTCTGGACCCTGCACTTACCAGAGGCTAGCATTTGTGGGCTCACGCAAGTGAGAGATGTTGGGTGAGCACCAGAAAGTGAAACTAAAGCTTGGGTTCTACCCTGGGCCTCATTTGTCAAATAAAACTGCAGCTGTTCCTGTGTTGTTACCCCTCCACCCACACACACACACATCCTCAGGCAGGTCTGGAAGCAGATGCAGGGAAGGTACCTTGCACGCTGGGGAGCTGGTGAAGGTGGAGGGGGTCCTGCTGGTGAGTGTGACTGCACTTGAACAGCTCTGCTGAATTTGCTAGACGCAGCTCCAGTTGATGGGTAGTGTCATTTCAGCTCATTTCTGGGGCTCCCAGCGAATGTGCCTTCACTCACCCTTTACCCTAAGCTGTATTCCCCAGGGATGCAGCTTCTTACATAGGGGAGGAATCCTTGGAACAGCGCTCACCCCAAGGAATTTACAGAAGGTCCCAGGCTTCCAAAATCCACCAAGAGCCAGGTTAGCTAGGAATGGGCTCCTGGGGTAAGATTGGAAATTGGAGCTGGGCTCTGAAGGCTAGAAGTCTGCAGGTTGGATGAGTGCAGAGGCAGAGCAAAAAGGAAAGTGTGCAAAGGCCTGAAGCAAGTCATTTGTGATGTGGGAGCAGAAAGCTGGAGGGGAGTCTGGGCTGGGGTTGCAGAATGAGTGTCTTGAAGGTGGGCAGTGGGGGTCCATGGTGGGTGTTTGAGGAGAAAGAACTGCCTGTTGGTTTGAGCACTGGGGCTGGAGGCAGGTACTCAGCCCTCACTGTGGGAAGCAGGATGGGTTTCTTATTCAGGCTGTGGGCTCTGTAACTAGCCTGCCCCTGTCCCTGGAGGGACTCAGGAAGAGCAGGGCTGGACTGGATAGGTCTGGAGCCAGGTCCTGGTTCCACTCCTGATTGGTCGTGTGATGCTGGCAGGTCACTTAATCTCTCTGAAAAAGTGGGATGACAGTATGTGGTGGCCCGAGTGTGGTGCTCAGGTATGAACTGGCTCAGTTTCCTCCCTGTAACTTGGTGACAACCACTGCACTGAAGCCTGGAGCTGAAGTGGGAATGATGCAGGGACATGTGTCCCATACTTGGAGCAGTACAGGCTCAGGGAAGGTGTTCACTCTGTGCACAGCCTTTGAAACCTCATCTGTAGGGGACAGTTCTGAGGTCCTGAGTTGGGCTTCAGACCTGGTTTCTTGACTGACTTGGAGTCCATCCACAGCTGCCAATGAGGGACTTAGATGAGCTGCAGGATGGGTGAGGCGCCTGCAGGGTGCCTCGCACAAAGTAGGTACTGGTTAAAGGGTGTGGCCCTGGGCGTGGGTGTGTGTGGGCCAGCACAAGTGGCCCTTTCTTCTAGACCCGTGGGTCACATATCAGAGGTCCTGTGGGGTGAGGCCTAGAGACCACACCACACCCAGCATGCCTGAGAAATGTTTTGTTTTGAGCCCAACAAAGGGCCTATGAGTGCACTTAGCAGCTTGGAGCTGCTGGGCCAGTTTGGGGGTGGGGCCAGGCAGGGATCTGAGCACTTCTGCCTTTCCTCCACCTGATCCTCTCCTGGGAAAAGCTCCCATGCACTCTCTCAATTCTCAGGTTGCAGACCCCTTTGTGACCTGGGCCCCCATCTGTCTTACCTCATGTCCCAGCTCCCTGGGAGGAGTGCCAAGCAGCTTCTTCACCTCAGAGCTGTGGGATGTGGGGAGACCTCACAGGGCTTCCAGGAGTGGAACACCGAGGGGCTGGGCGCTGAGAATGAGAATCTGCTGGCTTAGGAGGCCCACAGCAGAGCCCACCAAGAGAGCAGAGAGGCTTCCATGCAAGCAAGGAACTTGGTTCTGAGCTTCCTGACAGCCAAGGTAAAAAGGAGAACTGTAGGTTGTGATAAGAAAAGAACACACTGGATCACTGCCTGGAGAAGGACAGTCAGGCAAGGGAGGGCATGTGGCCTCTTCTGAGAGACAGCTTTCTTGAGAGCAGGTGTTTTATATGAACTTTGGATCTCAGACTCTGTCACCAGGATAGCCCCTCAGCCCCCAATCCTTGTTATTTTGAAATAATTTCAGAGTTACAGTAAAGATGCAAGAATGTTAATGTTAACATTTGCTCTATTGACTTTCTCTCCATGTAGATGCGTGTGTGTGTGTATGTGTGTGTGTGTGGTGTGTGTGTGTGTGTGTGTTTGAAGCCATTTGCTCTAAATACCTCAGTGTGCATCTCCTAAGAACAAGGGCATACTTTTGCTCAACCACAGAATGACAGTCCACTCAGGAAGGCATCACTGATGCAGCACTGCTGTTAGATTAACGGCTCCCCTCAGTCTTCACCAGGTGTCTTAGTACTGCCCTTTACAGCTATTTTTTTTCCTGGCCCAGCATCTCTGAAGCCATGCATGGCCATAATCTGTCTGTCTGTCTGTCTCTTTGGCCATATTAGTTTCCTGAGGCAACCGTAAATTGCCTTCTGTGGAGGAACTTGAGACAACAGAAGTGAACTCTCCCAGTCTGGGAGGCCAGAAGTCCCAGGTCAAGGCCCCAGGAGGAGAACTTCCACTCCTTATAGCTGTGTGATGTTGGCAGGTCACTTAATCTCTGAGAAAGCAGGATGACGGTGTGTGTGATGCTCAGGGGGTTGGCTTTAGTGTGGCCCCAGGCAGGTCAGCCTGTGGAAGGGTCTCCTATGGATGTGCTTGTCCTGCACTTCCCTAGCTTGTGACTGTCACCCCCACCCTCTGCCTGTGTCTTCGCATGGCTTTTCTTCATGGCTTTTCTTCGTCTCCTCCTCTTTCTCTTGTAAAGAAACTTGTTACACAATTTCCGGTCCACCCCATAATCCAAGGTGCTCGCATCTCAAGATCCTTCTTGTAATTACATCTGTAAAGACATTATTTCCAGATAGGGCTGTCTGCAGGCCCTGAGTATGTGTCTTTTGGGGGCCGCCATCAGCCCTCCTTAGTCAGACCCCAGTCTTTGACCTTTCTCTTTTTCTCATGGCATTGATGGTTTTGAAGTTGGCCAGTTTTCTAGAGTGTTCTTCCCTCAGGGTTCCCTCATGGCTGGAGGCAGGTAGGGGCCTCCTGAGTGGTACTGGGCACATGGTGTGGGTCGTCTCCCACTGTGACACTCGCTGGATGGGATGGCGTCTCAAGGTTGATCTGGTTTTCTTCCTGAGTGTTACCTGTGGTCCAGGTAGGTCAAGCTGCCTAGACCCAACTTGTGAGTGATTGAGGGGTGACTGCAGCACAGATGCCCTGTGGTTGGGTTGAGGGCCTTCTGGGGCCTGGCCCTGGGGTGGCCTCTCCCTATGGCTCATCTCTGGGCCCCATGTCCCCTGGCAGTGTGGCTTACAAGCTCCATTTCATAGGTGGAGAGACTGAGTGGGGGGCCACAGCCAGCCAGAGCTGGAGGCTGCTGTTCTTTTTCAGGATGTGCTCTATAGGCCCGACTCAGCAGGTACTCTCTGGCTGGCCATGGGATTATGGTTGTCTGTTTAGAGAACCCAAGCCATCCCAAGGGCTTGGTGAGGAGGTGTGAAGCAGGGCCGGAATGGAAGGCCTCGGCCAGGGTCCCCCTAGGCCTCATGTTCCAGAGCCTGCCAGCTGTGAGACTGCGGGTGAATCACTCCATCTTCCTGAGCCGTTTCCTCACCCTCAGGACTGTCCTGAGGTCACTGCCCTGTGTTCTCAGCAAGGTGTCCAGGTAGCTTCTGGCCTTGGGGGTCTGAGCACTATTCTCAGAGCCTCGAGGATCTTGCCAATCACCTGGCCCAGGCCAGTTCAGAGAGGGGAGGGACCTGCCCAGGAGCAGTGCCCAGCCCAGTCCTCAGCATCCCCTCAGAGGGAAGGCACATCCCAGGCTCAGGGAGAGACCGGTGGCCATCACTGGGGGGAAGTGACTCAACTTAGCCAAACCTCACAGGCTTGTTCTGGTGGGCTCTGTAGGAGAGCAAGGAGGAGAGAGTGTCAAGCCAGTGACCCCAAGAAACTGCTTCAAAGATACAGGGGAGCCATTCAGTCAGTGGTGGCCTTTTAGATAGGTGGATTCTGAGTTGATGTTATTTATCTAAAAAGCTAGAACCTGACATCATATAAATTGACGAAAAGAAGGAAGAAAAGGAAGGTGGTACAGATACATAGTGCTTAAGATTGATTTTATTCTGAGCGTCCCAGCAGAAAGAATGAAAAGAGATAACTTGCTCAGATTGGTAGCTTTTTGAAGTCCCTGTTCCAGGGAAATGGAGTTTTTTCAAGAACTTTTTCTTGTGGTACCCAGCAGAGAAGACTGAGTAATGCTAGGACGAGTGTCACAAGTCTGGTTTTTGTAGTTCTCCCAGTCAGGAGCAAAACTGATGAAGAGGTTACCTGGATGAGGGACAAAAGGAGAGGGTATTCCCAATAGCTGGGCAGCAGGAGCAGAGGACTGAGGACTAGAGGTGTGAATGAATTGACATCTTCCTGCAAACTACTGCGCTGACCTCTCGGACCACCCTGTTGTTGCAGTTGGGGCACGTGGTGCTGTCACCTGTCTGGTTCCTCTATAGCCTGTTCATGAAGCTATTCCAGCGCTCCTCGCCGGCCATCACCCTCGAGAGCCCAGATATCAAGTATCCGCTGCGGCTCATTGATAAGGAGGTGAGTGTGGGCCCCTTTCGGCAGTTCTGGACACCTGCTCTGCCCCCCACTCTCCATCTGTAACCTCTGTGTTTTCAAGACAGAGCAAGGTGATGTCCATGGCTAGGACCACCAAGTTTCTGACAGACTTACTTGTTCCACAGAAGGCCTGAGTGAGAGGGACCCCTCAGGACTTTGGGGTCCATGCCCCATTTAGCAGATAGGGAAGCAGAGTGAGAGAGGCTGAGCATCCAGTCCCTTGGAGATGAGGGCTCCCTTTTCCTCCCTGTGCCCGGGTCACTGCTCACAGCCTGGCTGCTGTGAGCTTGAGGCCTGGACAGCTGCCCCTGGGCAGGTCCTGCCTGGCTTCAGCAGTGCTGCTCCGTTTTCCCGCTCTGTTGACTTTCTGCACCCAATCGTCTGACTGGGACTCAGCCCCCTGCCCCCTGCTGCTGTCCAGGCCAGGCTGCTTCCCTCTTTCCTCTCCTCCAAGTGCCCATGCCCTGTTCTCTGCTCCCACCCCCGCCCTGGGCTCTATTTCTGGCCATTCCAGCTGCCAGAGGGGGTGGCAGGGAAAACTGAGTCACAGAGCAGAGAAAGCCATCCGCCTTGGCCTTGGGCCCCCGTCTCCACCCTGCCTGGCAGGTCCAAGTTGTGCTCACCAAGAAGCTTAGGATTCCATAGCCGGACTGATGGGACTCATAACTGTAATGTCCCAGGAGTTCATGGAAAAGGGGAAAACAGATAGCAGTGAAAAATACGAAGTGAAAAGCAAGTTCCTCCATCCGCTTCAGAGACCTCGTCTTCCCTTCCCATTTGCTTCATGGGTATGTGGCACACATTCTCACACTAAGAGAACCTGTCATGTGTCTGAGTCAGGTTTTTATGCACTCTTTTGTTGTTTTTTAATTCCAAAAGTATTATAATTCCAGTGATTTTTGTATATGCTCACTACAAAAACTCTGTGAGGTGTGAGTGCCTCTTGCCCCCCACCCTACCCATTGCTGTGGCCTGTGCAGGGCCTGCCCGGGCATTGTGTTCACCCGCACAAGGAAAGGCAGGGATGCCTGGGTGCACACACTTTGGTTCTGTTTTGATGACCCGATTGGCTTTTCCTCAGCTATGCAACGTGGGTACCTTTTCATGATTGACCCAAAACTGCTACGTTGTTTTCGATTACTGTGTGGTGTTTATTATGGGATATTAGACTAGGGACCCCCCCAGTCCCCGTGGATTGAGCATGTGGCGTGTCCTGGAGTCCAGCCTCTGCCCGCCCCCATGGCGTCCTGGCAGTGGCTTTTCTGGGCCAGCAGCAGGGCTGGCTTTTGTGGTTCTTGCTAAACCGCCAGGCTGCTTTGCCAGGGGTTATTCACCACAATAGCTGTCAGCGCCTTCTCTCCTTTCTGTTCTTCCTCCAAAAAACAGTCTGATGAGTGATGCCTGACCTTGACCATCAGAACCTGTCGATAGTCCTGGACTTTGCTCCTGGGAAGCCTTGAGGCCATATCTGCTCTGGGTGCAGAGGTTCTGGAGAGGCAGTGTGAGGACTGGGCTGTGGCAGACAGGCCTCCCACAAGCCATGTTTTCCATGGTTTTTTGTTTGCTCCCTCCTGGAGGGTAGGGGTCTCTGCCAGGCAGCTGCTGTGTACTAGAGCCCTGGGAGGGTCAGGTGTTTTTCTCAGATTGGGCTGGGGTAGCTTCCACAGTGCTCTGCTCCTCTGGAGAAGCCTGTTGTCCCCTCCAAGTGGACCTTGCCATGCCTGGGTTTGGGCTCTGCAGCCGCCTGCCTTCCTCCAGACCGGAGCTCACTGTGACCTCTGGGGTCTTTGTTTAAGACCCACTTAAAGAGGACTTGGGTTTTGGTCTTGGCTCCCTCGGCTCCCACCTCTCCTTGGAAGGGAACTGGTGACCATGGTCCAGCCATTGTCCGTGCCCTGTGCTCAGCACATGCAGAGTGAAGGCCTGGCTTTGGGCTCTTGGCTGTGGCCAGTCCTGGGCCTCCTAAGCAGTGGGAGTGCCATGTCCCCAGCCCTACAAGCCTGACGTCAGCCATGGCCACCCACTTCTCAAGAGGTCCCAGTGCAGTGGCTTCTAGAGTCTTCTCTCTGGCATGGCCCAGGCATGTGTGGCCTGTCTCAGCTTTGCCCTGTTTGCCACTCTGTCTCCAAGTTCCTTTTGTCACCCAGGTAACTGGTGTAGCTGAGGACAGCTGAGCTCCTCCCTGTACCTCCTGGAACTTTCTGGACCATCCTGTTTTGGGGACTCTGGGCTCATTCTTATTCTTACCATTTTGTTATGTGGACCTTGTGTATGTGTGTGTGTGGAGTGGTCACTGTCCCTTTCTGGGCCAGCAAAAGCTGGGGCATACCCAGCATATGCCTTACTTTGTGCCGTCACACACATGTGCAGGTTGGTGTGTCCCCATATGATATTGGTTCACTTCTCCAAAGGATACTTGGGGACATGGGAGAGGGAGGGGCTCTGAGGTCTGGCAGCCCCTCCTTACTGGGTGCCCTCCAGCAGCTCTGGGCCTCTTTGCAGATCATCAGTCATGACACCCGGCGCTTCCGCTTCGCCCTGCCATCACCCCAGCACATCCTGGGCCTCCCAATTGGTGAGTCTTGGCCAGCTCAAGTCCATGTGGAGCTAGGTGGGTAGCTGGGCGCCAGGCTTGAAGAGGTGGGAGCTCCAAGTTTCCACTAGAGAGAGCAGGGAAGGACCCTGGCCTTGTGGGGGTGGGTCTGTCTGATGGCGGGGGTGGGTCTGTCTGATGGTGGGGTGGGTCTGTCTGATGGGGGGGTGGCCCTGAGCTCCCTGGCAGTGGCATCCTCAGGGTAGAAGCTAAGTGCTGGGACCTGCTGGGACCTGCATGAGGTGGAAAGTGCAGTGGAAGCTGAGGCCAGGCCAGGGTTTGACTACAGGGCAGGTGTGGGGCTATGGGTGACAAGACAGAGCCAGCCTGTAGGAATGGTCCCTGGCCCAGAGTGACCCCACCCTGTGTTGCAGGCCAGCACATCTACCTCTCCACTCGAATTGATGGGAACCTGGTTATTCGGCCCTACACCCCTGTCTCAAGCGATGATGACAAGGGCTTCGTGGACCTGGTCATCAAGGTGAGGTCTCTAGGGCATGGCTGGGAGGGGTTGGAGTGGGGTGGTGGGAGGTGCTTCACTGCCCGGTGAGGCCTGGTGCCTGAGTGGTAGATGTTGGTCAGGTAAAGGGAAGAAAAGGCCTTCTCAGCACACCCAGCACAGAGGCCTGAGGACAGAGGCTTGAGGATTGATGCTGCCAAAGGGCAGGGCTTGAGGAGACAGGAGGTAGGAGAGATCAGCAGGGCCTTGGAGGCCCCAGGCAAGTTGGACGTTGGCCAGAAGCAAAGAGAAGGTAGTGTGGGATCAAGCATCTATTCGTGTTGAAATCCCTGATGAGTGAAGAGGACTGGGAGGGTGAAAAACTCACTCACAGATGACCTCCCCCCACACTCCTGTCTTGGAGTCTCCATGCCCTGTTTGCCCAGGTCAGTCCTGGCGTGGCACTCAGGGCCTGGGACAGTGTGTTTTCCCGCTTGTGCCCCTGCCATGTAGTCCCCTTTTGCTGTAGTCACAAAACTCCTTTGTTCCCTGAAACTTGGCGCACACAGTCGTGTCCCATTGCCCCACCCTTCCCCCCACCCCATACTCCTACTGGCCAGGTGCAGATGCAGTTCAGCCCTGGGCAGGACTGCTGCTCCTCTGTCTCTCCATCTCTGTAGGCAGGTGATCACAATGCCTCTTTCCCAAGGCAGCAGTCCTAAAGGGACAGGAAGGGAGTTTCCAAGAGGAAGGTCTGTTTTAATTTTGAAAATTATAGCAAAGTTTATTAGGAAAGGAGTACAGTTTTAATAGACTGAAAGTGGGCTAAATAGGGGCTTGCTTTTCACCCAGGCTGGCCTGGACTGTGAGCCTCTTACTTATGCTTCCTGCCATAGCTGCACTGATAGGCACATGCCATCATGCCCAGCTTCTTTCTGTTGAGATGGGGTCTTTCAAACATTGTTTTTTGGTTCCTGGGCTAGCCTGGAACCACAATCCTCCTGATTTCAACCTTCCAAGTAACTAGAATGACAGGCACACACCACTGTGCCCAGCTATTGGTTGAGATGGGGTCTTGTGAGCTTTTTTGCCTAGACTGGCCTCCCAACTGTGACCCTCCCAATCTCAGTCTCCCAAGTAGCTAGGATTACAGGTGTGAGCCACTGGCACTCTGCTCCAAGAAGGAGGCTTTTACACTGTACAAAATCGAGAGACCCTAGCATCCACCAGCAGGATGCAGCTGAGCTGATGCCCCAGAGCCTCTGGCTGGTCTGGTTGAGGTGGGAATCCTGGAGGTGTGGCCACAGACCTTGTTGGAGGTCATTGATGTTGAGCCCTCCAGCTGGTGCCTTATACTTTCCCATGTGTTGTCATGCAGCATCCAGGGGGTGGGACGTGGACAGTGAGTTTTGATGGGTGGTACATGGGCCACATACAGGCCTGGGGAGAAGCCTTGGAGAGGTGCTGGTTTCCCACTGTTGATGGGGCTTATGCTGGAAACCCTGGGCTGGGGATGAGGCCTACACCGGTGTCTTGCAGGTTTACTTCAAGGACACACATCCCAAGTTCCCTGCTGGAGGGAAGATGTCACAGTACCTGGAAAACATGCAGCTTGGAGACACCATTGAGTTCCGGGGTCCCAATGGGCTGCTGGTCTACCAGGGCAGAGGTGATTTGAGTGGGAGTCCCTGGGACCCAGTGTCTGGGATATTGGAGGGGTGGCAACACTGGTGTGTTGGGCCTCCCCCCAACCCCCGCCCCTTACTTCTGTCTAGTGGCAACTGGTGGGCAAGCTGTAATCTCCCCTGAGCCTCAGGTCTCTCCTGTTGTTTAGAGGATAAGACAGGTTGCCAACCTGCTGCTCCCGGCCAGATCCACCCTGCAGTCCCCCTTGTTTGGCTTATTCAGTGACAAAAACAAACAAGCAAAATGCCTGATCAGGAATCCTCTACTCTGCCAGCCTCTCCACTCTCCCTCTACCATCTGCAGTGACATTTGAGTAGGATCCTCAATCCCTACTTTCCTGTCCTTGGCCTCACTCTACCTGGCTGGGCAGCTGCTCCAGCTGAGCAGCCCCAGGACAGTGTGTCTGAGAGCCACTTCACCCCTTCTCTGTCCTCCCAGGGAAGTTTGCCATCCGTCCTGACAAGAAGTCTGACCCCGTCATCAAGACGGTGAAGTCTGTGGGCATGATCGCAGGAGGCACAGGTACAGGGCCTTGGAGCATCTCATGGAGCCGACGTGGTCAGAGGATGGGAGGAGGCACAGGGTATAAGTGCGGTCAGGTGCCTGGAGCTGTGCCTTGTACTCAGCAGGTGCTCACTCAGCTCATGGGCTGTTTTGCAGGCATCACGCCAATGCTGCAGGTGATCCGTGCCATCATGAAGGACCCAGATGACCACACCGTGTGCTACCTGCTCTTTGCCAACCAGGTCAGTGGACAGTCCTCAAAACATCCAGACTCACTTTCCATTAAGGAGACCTGGGCCCTGGCTCTGTGCAGAGATGCTGGGGACGCAGCCAGCATGCTGATTGTTCCATGTGGGCGTGAGGTGTGCAGTCCCAGCCTAGAGAGTCTGAGTGAGCCAGCTGCTGCGGGGCACTAGGGCTGCTTCCTCCAAGCCTGAGTTCTCCTCATCGTGAGCACCGTGGGAGAATGCTTCCTGGGCCTCAGCCCGCCGGAGACAGCAATGGGGTGTTGAGAGCAGCATCCTCACAACCTCCCTGTGGTTGTTGGGCAGGTTTGAAGCCTGCCTTTGGTGTCTCCTGACTCGCATCCTCATCTCATTCCACCGCCTGCCTGCTCTGTCCTGCTGTGTTGTCCGGGACAGAGGCCCTTTCCCTCTCTGGGCCTCCCTGCCCATCTGTGGGTTAAGCCAGTGAAGCTAAGTTGTCAAGTGTCTTTCCAGGTTCAACGTCTTGCGACTGAGTATGAGTTTGACAGTGATGTCTCTTTTCAGGAGGCCAAGATGAGACACCTCCACCCACCCACCCCACCCCGCCCAACAGTATAGAGATCAGGCCCTGTCACCTTGTGCCTTTCAGATGTGGTTCAGGGGATCTTGTCTCTAGGGTCCATCTGGGCTCAGCTCCCAGCTGCCCATCTGTGAGGCAGTTGAGCCAAGCAGTAGGGGGCTTGCGTAAGGTCCCTGGACTCCTGCATAGCTGCACGAAGCTCCCCTAGACCAAGGTAGCTTTCCCAGGGGAGCCGAAGTCCCGAGCTGGCTGGGATGGGCAGCAGTGGGGCCATCTGAAGTCCAGAGGCCCTCAGATTCTGTCACCTGGGTAGGGTGTCTTTATACCTGTTAGCCTGTTAACCACGGGCGGTGAAATCGCCCCAGTTTGTAGCTCAGGTTCAGAGAGCCTTGACAGTTCATGTTTCAGAGGAGTACTGAATGCAAGACTCAGACCTGGGCATATTTTAATTTAATTTAATTTTATATTTTGGTGCTAGGGAATCAAACCTAAGGCTCATTCATGCATGCTCTACCACTGAGCTACATAACCAACTCCAGTTTTTTTGTTGTTGTTTCTGTTTTTTGAGACAAAAACATAGCCTAAGCTGGCCTTAAATTTGAGATCTGAGTGCTGGGATTACAGGTCTGTGCTACCACACCCCGCTATATTAACATAACTTCATTCTATATTTTTGTGCATACCTGTGCCGTGTGTGGCTTAACTGAAGCGGCTTGTTGCCCATATTGGCGTCTTTGTCAGTCTGATGATGTAATCACAGGCTTTTGGGGGCACCCCATTGTGCCCTGGTGAGAGAACAAGAGTGACAGGACGGATAGCATCTTTGTGTTGTATGGAAATCTTTTACCCCATGGTCCTGTGAAAGGTGCCAGCCCCAGGGTTCCCCAGGATGCACTCTGAAAACTACTTTATAGAGTTGTGGCCCTGTTCTCTAGATAGCAGGTGGGGGGGGGTCACAGTGGACACCGCCTCTTAGAGGGCAATTGTGAGGACTGAGGTGAGACCAGCACGCATGGCAGGAGACCTGACTTCCAGAGGTGTACGTGCTCCCCAAGCTGAGGAATGAGCTATGAGTGATACAGGTTTCTGGGACAGGAAGCTCTGGCTCTGCACCACTTTGGTCTAGAGGGCAACAAGGGACCGTGAGACAGGTGGTGAGGCAGGCGTTGGTTTTGGACAGGGGGACCTGATGTTCCCAAGATTGAGTTCCTTCTAAAGTAATGCTCTCCCTGCCCCCCAGGGACTTCCACCCCCTTAACATAACAAGTTGATGCCGGACTGGAAGGCAGCGGACACAGCTCATGCAGGAGAGGTGGGGGAGGGGGACAATGCTGAAGAACTTAGCTAGATGTTACAGTGCAGTAAGCCATGGTTCTAGAGCCGCGTGTGACCTGGGCAACACAGAAAGCCAGAATTGCACCAGAACCTGCTGTGGCTGTTCACATTGAAGTCAGTTAAGTTTACCTTGCCAGTCCACTAGCCTCACTCAGGCTGCACAGCCAAGGGCAGCAAGAGGCTCCCTGGGAGGAGAGGGTGTGGGGGTGGAGCAAGTACAAAGAACATTCCTGCCATGGCAGGCAGAGCAGGACTGCAGGACAGAAGCCCCAGGACCCGAGCCATCACTGACTGCAGCTGGTGTTTCATTCGTAAGGAGAGAGACAAATAAGTGTTGGGTTAGTGCATTTGGAAAAATAAGTAGATCCTGTATCTTGAAGTTCACATAGCTTGAAGCTTTAGAAGTACCAGATGAGCCGGGCGCAGTGGCTCACATCTGTAATCACAGCCCTTGGGAGGCTGAGGCAGGAGGATCAGGAGTTCCAGGTCAGCCTGGGCTATAGGGGAGTGTCTAGGAAGGCCTGGAGGGGGTGAGGTGGACTGAATTCTGTAGGGCCCTGTGGAGCTGCCTGTGGGACTGCTGTAGGCCACGCTGCAGTTTGGTTGGGAGGGTGGGTATGACCCGGGAGAATAGGGGCTGCTTCCCCTGGTTTTGAATGTAAGGCCTTGCCTGAGCCATGGGGGCACACCGGCTGTGCACCCTCTCTGTTCTGACAGTTCTTTGGTGGAGATCATAACCACTGGCAGGGACAAATTGGGAGACATGAAGGGCATCTCTGTCCTCTTCCCTGCTGGAGTGCTCCCTCTTAGCTTTGCCATCTGTCGGGTCCACCCCCGCCACACTGTGCATGTCTCCCCACAGCATAGAACAGGCTTTGTCTGCAAGGAGCCTCGGTGGGCAGCTTTGATGAGCTCCGCTCTGTAGGTGAGATTGCTGAAGGGGTGAGCAGGTGCTAGGTTCTCCTGAGCTATGGTACTGTGGTGATGGCTGCTGGGCATGTCTCTTGAGGTCTGCAAGGACATCCCTGCCACCCCTCCTGACTGCGTGGCCTGTCCCTGCAGACCGAGAAGGACATCCTGCTGCGGCCTGAGCTGGAGGAACTGAGGAATGAACATTCCACTCGCTTCAAGCTCTGGTACACGGTGGACAAAGCCCCGGAAGGTGAGCGCAGGAGGCGTCGAGCAGGTGGGAGGCGTTGGCCATGGGTGCTGAGCTTCTGTGCACCCATTCAGCTGTACTGTGACCTTCGCGGGGCACTGGGGTGACCCCCATCTGAGACATAAGGAACGAGAGCTCTACAGGGAAAGCAAGTGCCTTATGTCACACAGCTAGGGCCGGGAGTTGGGGCCTTGCTTCCAGAGCTTCAGCCCTGCCTGCCCCTGTTCTCCCCTTGGGCCAGGGCCCCCCAGGGCAGGTTTTTGCAATGCTGAGAGTCGGTGATTGCTTCAGTTGTGCAGCATATCCCCACAGCAGGCTTCACACCGATTTCCCCTGTCACCAGTGCTGGGAAGGGGCTTGGGTGTTCTGGTTCTCCTCGTTCTGCCTGTCCAGGTGAGTAGGCTGTGTGCCAAGGTCATTGCTATGGAGGAGCACACAGTGCAAAGACAGTGACCAAGGCCCCAGGACTCAGATGAGATTGCCTTCTGGGACTCAAACTGCCCTTCATTTTCCTGCTGTGGTAGGTAAAAATGGGATAAAAAAATCTTCATTTTTTTCTTTCTGTAAGAAAAGCAGTGTAGGTGTGTGTGTATTGGGGTATAGTTCCAGTGATATTTGGGCCCAGGGTGGGGAGTTCTAGGGAGTGGTGAGGACTGGGGTAAGGAGAGCACATACCCTGCTGTGCTATGGAAGCCCCCTGGGGGTGCAGCCAGGCCTCTCACCTCCCAAGAAGCCAGGACCTGCATTTTCAGGGCAAGTCTCTTAATTGCTGCAAACAGCATTTTAGAAGCAGGCACCTGAGTGCCAGCTCACCTCCTGCCCCACAGCTCCCAACTCCCACAGTGGGGAACACTCAGCACCTGCTGGCCACACTGCCCTCCACCTCCCATGATGAGCAGTGGGCTCTGGAGGCTGCATTCTCAGCTGGGCTGTCCAGCCTCAGCCTATGGAAGGAGTGGCACTTCTGAGCTGAGTGAGGTTGCGTTCCAGTCCCTCTGGGCTGAGTCAGGCCTGAGCTGGTTGGACCCAGGGACTTAAGCAGCATGTTCTGAGGCACACGAGGTAGGCCTTCCAGGTAGAGCCAGCAGGGGCCCTGGGTCTGGGGGCTGGAGCTCCTGTTTCTCTTCTAGTAAAGTAAGGAATATTTGCTGGGTGCCACAGTTCAAACTGGGGAGTGGAAAATAGGGGGCTCCCTTCTGATTGCAGTTTCTAGCAGTGGGTTGCCGGCAGGCAGACTATAGGCCCCCTTAGGCCTAGCCTGAAGAGAAGGTCCTCCTAAGGGGGAGGCTAGTGCTGACACCTGGTGGCAGCCTGTGGAAATGCAGACCACTTCCAGACTTCCTGACCCTGGCAGGATGGTGGGAACAGAGGCCATCTGTTACCACCCTCACCTGCAGCTCAGCACCAGTGGAAGAATCAGGTGTTGAAAATGGAAACCGGCCAAGGCGGTGGAACCCAAGGTGGCTGTCTAAAACTCGCCTGTGAACTGAGCTGTGTCTTCCATGCCTACACACAGTCACTGGCAAATGCAGCTTTTTATAAAGTACTTGCTAGTCTGTTGCCCAGCTATAAAAATGTTATGTGCTTGCCTGTACCCTGCCTTGTTCCAAAGAGACTTTAAGAAGCTTAGAGACTCACGCGGAGAGTCTGAGTCAGAGTGGTACAAAGGGAAAGTGGGGTGGAAGGAAAACAAGGGCAGGGCTTAGAATGGAGCCAGAGATGAGGTCTGTACAAAAATATTGACTGTGCTGCACACTGAGGTTCCCAACAGCCAAGGTAAAAAAGGAATGTGGCCAGGTACTTAGCTCATGGTATCCACAAAGTAAAGAGGACCTAATTGTTCAGCACTGGAGGCTTTTCCCAGTCCTAAGGCTAGCTGGGACCATCTTGGCCCGTTTTACCCTTCGAGCCCCATAAAGTAGACATAGTGGGATGCAGGAGTGGAAGTGTTTGGTTCATCTAGACAAGATGCCTGTGTCAGCTAACACCCTTTTACCTTGGACTTCTGCACCATTGTTCTGTTGGTGTTGAAGGCTTTGAGGAGGCTCTTCCAGGTTGCAAAGGACAGACTAGCCAGAGATAATCCAGGGCTAATCAGGACCAGAGGGATTCGAGGAGCAGGAAGTCATTGCCCAGCCTCAGCCAGGCCTGGTGGAGCTCTGGGCCTCTCTGGTAGGAGCCTCCCAGGCAGGCGACAGCAGCTCAGCAGCCCTGTCTCTTCTGTCACTTTTGTCTGCATCCTGTACACCCACCTGTGCAGTCTTCTAAAGCCAGGCCTGAGGTCCTGATGGTCTTCCCACCCACTGGGCAGAGCTCAGGGCTGACCTGGGCTTGGGCACCCACGGTGGACCAGGAGGTAGCCTGGTGGCTCCTCTGAACACCTCCAGTTGGTGGGTCAGTCCCAGAGACCAAAGCCCTTCCCAGTCTGGGATGCTGGCTCCTCACCTATAGTCAGCCACTGAGAAGAAAAAAGGGTTGGCTTCCAGGTGAAGCTGGAGACGTGTGCCGCTTGTGCAGGAGAGGGAGGCCAGTGGGGCAGGAGGGAACAGCTGCCACCGCCAGGAGCCTGGGCTGGAGCTAGCCTCAGTGTCCAGGCTCCTTTGGGACCTGCTCCTTTAATTTATTATTCATTAAGCAGCTGCTTTGCACCAGGCACCATCTTGGCAGCAGAACACAGCTGTGGACAAGACCCCGTTTCTTGTGGGTCAATTTCCTGCTGGGGGTAGGAGGCAGGCAGTAGGCCTGTGGCTGGGATCTGGGGTACAAATATCACCCTAACCAGCATGAGGTGGAACCTCTAGTTCATGTCTCAGCTGTGTCCCTGCCTTCTTGTGTGATCTTGAACAATGAATTCTGGATCCTCTGGACCTCAGTTTCCACATCTATAAAATGGGACCCATAACTTCTGCCCTGGGATCCATCCCCAGCAAGCAAAAAATGAAAATGAAAATAATCCACCCTGTCACCCCAAGGGAAGTTCTGAGGGCCACATGAAAGGTTGGAAGCCAAAGGCTTTGCAAACTGTGAAGTGTGGTGGTGGGGAGAGCTGGTGTTCTGGTATAGGTGTCCATGGGGCTGGGCTGGCCTCTGCCTTCTCCTGAGGAAGACGTTCTTGGCAGCAGAGCTTAGCCTAAAGGGGAAGGAACAGATGGGCTGTGGCTCACGCCTGGACCCCTGGTCTCTCCACAGCCTGGGACTACAGCCAGGGCTTCGTGAACGAGGAGATGATTCGAGACCACCTTCCGCCCCCTGGGGAGGAGACACTCGTGCTGATGTGTGGACCCCCGCCCATGATCCAGTTCGCCTGCTTGCCCAACCTGGAGAGCGTGGGCCATGCCAAGGAGAGCTGCTTCGCCTTCTGACAGTCATGTCAGTGTGGATGTCCTACCCTGTCCTCCTACGACCTTCCCACATCCACCCACTCCTCACACTGGCCCGGTCGCCCCTGGGGAGCAGGGCTCTGTTTCAGGTGGCACCGGCGGCCACCCTCAGGATAGGTCCTGTCTGACACCAACTGGCCATTACCAGCACCCCTTGTCCTGTCACCTGTCCATCTCCTACACACGCACCTCTCCCAGTCACAGACCACAGGTGATACGATGGGAAGGGGTGGGGAGTGCCCAGCACTGCCCAGGACCCTTGTCTGCCGCCCTTCCCCACCTGCCTCAGGCCATGGCCCGCCTGAGCCTCCAACACTACATGGATACTGGCACCTAAAGATTCCTTTGGAGGGGCAGCGGGGGTGAGAGACTGCTCCCGTCTGGGGGGCAGCCAGGCTTGAAAGAAGGTGCTGGTCAGGGGCCTGGGGCTGGCTGTGGACTCTCATGAACTCCAGCATCCCAACACTCAGGCACCCGTGGGCCCTGCAGGTTGTCAGTCAGCAGAGTGCTGTGGACTTGGGGGTCCCAGGTTCCTTCCAGGGCCACTGCCCTGATGGCAGAACCACAACTTCCCTTCCCCTGCCCTGTCCCCCCTTGGAGGGGCCAAGCAGTGCCTGTCAGACACACCCGTGGCCTCCACTTTGCCTTAGCAGCGTGCCAGCCTCCTGCATATCAGCTTTTTTCAAGTCATTTACGAGCAGAAAAAGAATTGAAGTAAAACTTTGCTGATAGTAGCCATTGTGGAACCCCTGGAATTCTGACTGCTATCACCTGGGGAGGGGACAAGGAGGGTCAGGAGTCTATTTCATATGTCCATTTGTTTTAGCTTTGAAAGTATACATGGGAGCCCAGCCATGTCAGATCACCTTGCTAATCAAAGGTGTCCCCAGACCTGTCTGCACCACCCTGGGCCTCCAGTGTGACTGTTGCTCTTTCTTTGGGACAACCCTGAGGCTGGGAGGGTTCGTCCCTTTTCCACTGGGCATGAGTGCCTTTCAGGTTGGAGATGGGGCCTGAGGTGTGTGTGTTCCCTATGAAAAGCCAGGGTGGGGGCTTAGGGTTTCTCCTCCATTCACACTGGCCAGGCTGTGGTGCCCTGCCACTGCCCTTCCCATCCCTCCCTCCTGGCTCTCTGGTTCTGGGAAAGACAAGGTAATGCTGTTTGCAAGATGGTCACTAAAGACACTGAAGAGATGAGGTGGGAGATGAGGGCTGCAGGAGAGCCGCGCTGAGGAGGTGGCATCTGAACTTGGGAAGGGAAGTAGCTGGGACAGGTGTTTGGGATACTGGGTGTAGCGAGTGCAAGGGCCCAGTGGTGACACAAGCTTGTGAAACAGTTTCAGAAACGATAAAGCAAGCAAGTGGTGGAGGGGACTGTGGAGATGACACTGCAGAGGGAGCGACCTCAAGTGGAAAGGCCAGACAGACTTGCTGGGAAACAGGACCAATGAGCACAGAGGGCAGCTGGGAGACTCCCTTTACCTCCCCTCCTGTCCTGAGCCCTAGAAACACATGGGGTGGGGGGCGCTAAGCACGTCACACACGTTAGATCTCATCCTCATCCCTGTCCTGTCATGGTGACCAAATAGGGTCAGAGAGTTGGGATTTAAACAAGGTCCTGCCTGAGCCCCTAAGCGGAAGCTAGAAGGAGGGAATCAGTTGGACCCAGCCCGACCCTCTCTCCTGGTCTCTGTTTCCCCATCCATAAACTGAACAGTGCAGTGTGCCCATGGTTCTCCACCCTTCCAAGCCTGACACACGTTTAGGACGAGGTCTGTAGCAGCCCCTTCACCCTTCTGAGGAACTCAAAGGCAGAGTGAACTAGCTACATGGAATTTAGTGAACACAGAGCTCCAACTATGTTAGAAAAAGTCAAGGAAAAATGTGCTCAATAAAATGACACATCTCAGCACGGGCTGAGCCCAAGCTCCCTAAGGGGTAGGTTGGTTTGGATGCAGGATCCTGGGGAGCGGCCGAGCTCCAGGGTGAGGGTTTTTCCAAGGCACGCACAACCCTTAGCCAATCCCAAACACCTCGGGATGGGATTCTGTGGCTCCCATGCAGCCGCCTGTAAATTCCGTTTACTCACCAGGCATAAAGCCTGCTCCCTAAGGGCGTCTCCCCTCCTGGAACATCCTGGGGGTGAAGGGGCTGCCTCACCCCTGGGGCAGTCCCACCCCAGTTCCCTCCCCAGTGTGCAATCCCTGCTTTCCCAGCAGCCAGACGCCCCCACAAGGCATGAAAGGCCTCTGGCAGGGAGGGGCTGTCCTGGACTTAGATGATCTGAGACGTTTTGTGGAGATCAGGCCGTGCCGGGCTCTAAGTTTCGTGTTGTAGAAAGCAGTGGTTTTCAGGCTGTGCCTTGCCCTGAGCGACTCCATTTTATAAAACAGCAGTGTGCTCCATTTTGAGTGCAAATGCTGAGGCAGAATGACTGCATCTTACTTGGGCAAGCAAGCAACCAGCATATGTCCAGCACAAACCACGAGGCACATTTGATAAAACTATTAGCACCAGGAACTCATAAAGTGAAATCAGGAGCACGTGGACTCATAGGTGGATCAAACACATTGGAAATGCCAGGTCCCTGAGCCCACCGAACACGCCAGACCAAGGAATTATACAAAAGGATCATGCAAAAGGAGGGGTGCCTGACACCGGGACACAGCAGCACCCACCAACCTGTCATCAGCACATTCACTGCTTGCATCACAGATCAACAGGCAGATGAACTCCCGACTGTCCCTGGGTTTCAATTCAGCTTGACATCATGCACTTGAATCCCCAGTCCAGACCCAGTACGCCTTCAACCAGCATTGCAGTGCTGGGGGCTCACGCCTGTAATCCTAAGCATTTGGGAGGGCTGAGATCGGGAGGACTGTGGTTCGTTTGAGGCCAGCCTGGGGAAATAGTTCATGAGACCCCATCTTCAAAATAACCAGAGTAAAATGGATTGGAGGCGTGGCTTAAGCATCCCACCAAAAACAAAACAAAAAACCCAGCATTGCATTCTGAAGCAGCTCTGCGTTTTGGTATCACTGGGTTTTAACACCACCTCTGCCTCAAACAGCTCTGGGATGTTGTGTTAATATCTAGCCACCTGCAGGAATCTTTGCACCTGTGTCAGCTCTACGCTTGCCTTCAGCAAGAGAACACCACAGCCTTTAACTTTCTCAGCCATTCTATACCAATTCATATCAATTGTGTGAAGTGTAATGTGTGATCTGGGGGTTAATATTAGTAATTAAGACTGAATAAAAGAACCTGTTTGCCGGCCGAGTGCCAGTGGCTCACACCTGTAATCCTACCTACTCAGGAGGCAGAGATCAGGATTGCAGTTTGGAGCCAGCCCTGAGCAAATCTTGAAAAACTCATCACAAAAGGTTTTGTGGAGTGGCTCAAGGAGAAGGCCCTGAGTTCAAGCCCCAGTACAAAACAAACGAAAAACCATTTGCTGATGGCTCACACTTTTCAAACGACATCAGTAGCACTTACTATTCAGTAAATTCTGGCATTGTGGAGGCACAGTGCGTCCAACTGTCTCTGATGTCACTGGCTCCCTGGCCTTAACTCCTGCTCCTCTGGCAGTTCCTGTACCCCCCCTTCCTCCATGCTACTCCTTCCTGCTTTCCTGCACACCTGGCAGGCGGGGGGGGGCGGGGGGGGCGTTGGTGGTTTTACAGGTGAGGAAGAGCCCCAAGGAGGGAAGGGACAGGAACCACTCTTAGCTGTGCACCTGGGACCTGGATGTCCCTCCGTTGACTGGTGCACAATCTCAGGCCCTTCTTGCTCTCCCAGCTCTTGTCCCGTTTCTCTGCGAAGCCCGTGATACTTTATTTTTTTGATGGTGTTAATAGTCTGTCCACTTGACTTAAAGGCTTTTTGTTTTGTGGGGCTGGGAACTGACTCCAGAGCCTCTAGGCATACGGTCTGCCGCTCAGGTACCCCCAGCCCACATGTCCTTTTTTTTTTAATTGATTCTACGAATATGTGTTGAACACCTACCTCCTGCCAGGCGCAATGCGGAAGGCTGGGGTTGCATCGATGGAAATAGGCATCCCGTACGTGGAACACTAGCGAGCAGTCTGTTTAACCCTCCCAGCAAACACCCGCTCCACCGCACAGCTGAGACGGGCAGCAGGGGGGTGAGCGATTTGTTTGTGAAGGTCACGCTGCCAGGGGAGACCCTCCAGCTCTCCCTGCCTCCGGAACCTCCGTGTGAGCCCGCATACAAACAAATAGTCATTCAAAGACCGGCTGCAGAGGACCAGTCACGCAACCTTCCCGCTCCTCTCAGTAACGAAATGCACGGAACGGTACCAACACTCCCACTAGGACGAGGTCCTCCGACCAGTCTGCCATTTCAGTTTAACGGGGGACGGGCAGATCGCTACACCCAGGCATCCCGCAAAGTAGGCGGGTCACCTTAGGGACAACCTTTACCCGCTCAAAAATTCGTCTCACATTAGCAGTGAGGATTCGGGCGTCACCCCGAATCGTTATTTTCCTTACTCATAAGTTTAAGGCATAAAAACTACTGCTACTTTTCTTGCAGGTAATGAATCTTATTCTCATTAAAACTATGGTGACTACCAATTTGGCCGTTAAAGTGGCAGCCCCTTCTCTTAAAGCTTGTCTCATTTGCCACCTTTTTATGTCGCTTTTAATTTTATTTGTTTGAAGGAAAGTATTACAGAGCGCTGACGCTCCATATGCAGATAAGGAGCGGGCAGCGCAAAGGCTCACGGGGAGCGCCCCCGCCCCTTCCGGCCCTTGACTCGTTTGAACTGTCGCGAGAGTTGGTTAGTCAGACGCCGGAAGCAGCTCGTCGCTCCACAGCGGCCGAAGGGGCGGGCTCGCGGGCTGAGGGCGTTTAAGCTGCTCTCCACTCGCTCGGTGGCGCAAGATGGCGGACATCTCCCTGGATGAGCTCATTCGGAAGCGCGGAGCGGCAGCGAAGGGACGGTGAGTGGCTTTTTCTCTTTTCGGGGTCCAGTGTCTGTTGGGGTTCGGGGAGGAGGAGGGAGCAGCTCCGGCGCGACGTGAGTACCGTCGGCGCCCGCCCCCTGCCTCAGCCGCGCTGCTCATTGGCCGGGCCGCCGCCGCCGCCGCGGGCCCGGCCGGCCGCCCTCTCACTGGCTGGGGGCGCCGCCGCTCGGGCGGGCCGGGGTGAGGCCGGAGCGCAGCCGCCTCCCCTGCCGGGCCCTGTGCTCCGAGACCCCGGCGCTGCGGGGCCGCCTCGGAGCTAGGACAGCCGAAGGTTAGCGGGTCGGGGACGGCCGCCCGCAGCTTTCGGCCCTTTCCGCGCCCGTCCCCTCGCCCGCTCCTCCGGCGTTTGAAGTCCCCTGAGCGCTTTCGCGCCCGCAGCGCTTCACTCCCTCTTTTCACGTCCCCCCTGCTGACTTTTAACTTTGGGACGGGCGCGGGGTTGCCCAGGCTGGTCTCGAACTCGTGGCTCAGGTGATCGCCTCCCGAGTGGCTGGGACTGCAGGGCTGCCCCGTCGCGCTCGGTCGTCCGGCCAGGGGTGGAGCGAAGTGCCCCGGGGCCACCGGAGCTGGGTGAGCTTCAGTTGCCGGCCTCAGGCAGGGACAGAAAAACAGGTGCGGCGGGGCGCCGAGGCGTCTCCTGAGCGGGCTGATCTGCCGCTGTGACCCGCACGCTTTGTCTCCGCTCTCACAGATCGCTAGTCGTTTTCAGGTCTGTGAGCTCAGTCTACCTGACGAAGAAGGGGGACTTGACCAAGTAGTTTTCCCGCGCGAGTGAAGTAAGTCCAGGTGTCTTTGGAAACAGCCAGGCTGTAGAGATGTGGGTGATTTTTTTCCCCAGCAGATGTTCACTAGTGCCTCCCCCGTGCCTGTGTCTAGAAGATAAATTCTTGGTCTTGCTGGCTGAAGTGAGTCCCCCCACTCCCCAGCACCTCTGCCAGCACCACGTAATTGGCCTGCTGGCACTTTCTCCTGGCTGCTGGTCAGAACACCCACACGGTGTTTGTTCCTCTGCTGTTCCCCGTGAAGAGTTCTCATTAACCGTGTGGAGCTACTGCTGGGTTCTCTGCACTTTTAGACCCGCCTCCCAGGTCCTGCTCATCTGCCCTTCCCCTTGGTGAGTGCAGAGCTTTGTGCTGGACTGTGGGGCTGCAGGGGGTGGAGGATGTGTGGATAGGGAAGAGCAGGGACTGTGACCCAGCCCCTCCTGGTCCCCGACGAGTGCCACTGTTAGGTTCTTTGCCTGCTGGGCAGTGCCCTCACTTGTAACAGTGTTCCTGACAGATCATTGGGAAGATTGTGAGAGTGTAGTAGGTGTGTTAGCCTTTCATTGCTGTGACAAAACGCCTGAGAAAATCAGCTTAAAGGAGGAAACATGTATTTTGGCCCCTGGCTTCAGACTGTGGTTGGCTGGCTATATTGCTTTGAGTCTGAGACTAGGCAGAAAATCATGGGGTGGGGAAGCACCTAAGGAAACAAGATCCATCCTTCAAAGATACTGCCCCAGCAACAAACTTCCTGAACTAGACCCTACCTCCTCAAGCCCACCAAGCTATGAACTTGTCAATGGAACGGTCCACTGATAAGGTTAGTACCCCTCATGATCCAGTCACTTCTCATTAGCACCACCAGCTGGGGACCAAGATGGGGACTCAAGTCTGGGGGAGAGTCCACATCCAAAACATAGCATGTTTATTTTTGTTTATTTATTTGTTTATTGTGGTACTGGGGTTTGAATTCAGGGTGGCATGCTTGCTAGGCAGGCGCCCTACGACTTGAGACACTCCGCCAGCCCTAAAACTCTGATGTTTTAAAGATTGTGCCATGCCCGACCTGGGCATGGTAGCAGGTTGAGGCAGGAGGATGGTAAGTTCAAGGCCAGCCTGGGCTACAGAGCTAAACCCTGTCTCAAACAAAACAAAACAAAAGTTTATACCACGTAGTAAGTGTTCAGCAAATAATGTCAGTTATCATGGATCTTTTCCTAAAGGAGTAGAAGCATGAAACCTTGTGGGGACAGAAAAAATAAGAATGGAGACTGTCCAGTCAGACTGCCAAGTTTGAGTTAATTCCCTGCTTCTTCCACTTTTCATATGGTCTTACACAGGTTGCTAAACTGACCTTTATCTCTTTCCTTATCTGTGAACCATAGTAATAGCTACTTCAGTAGAATTCAGTGAATTAATGTGCCTAAAGTGCTTCAGAAAGAGGCTGATGATACTAAGTGCTTAATAGATGTTAGTTTTTGTTACTGTTATTTATTTATTTTTCTAGTACTGGAGTTTGAACTCAGCCTTTGCTTGCTAGACAGGTGCTCTACCACTTGAGCCAGCTCTGTTTTGTGTTGGGTATTTCCAAGATAGAGTTCTACGCAAACTACTTGCTAGGGCTGGTTTTGAACTGCCATCCTCCTGATCTCTGCCTCCCGAATAGCTGGGATTACAGGCATGAGCAACCATTACCTGGCAGTGTTGGTGGGTTTTTAAGTAAAGAAATAACGTGACCTAAGTTTCAGTGTAAAAATTTCTTTGTGATTATGTGAAAATTGGTTTGGGGCAAAAATGCAGGTTGGAAGACTATTGTAAAAGAAACTGGAGAACATGCCACGTTTAGGTTAACTCTTCTAGAAACTCACCTGGGCATGGTGGCTCATACCTGTAATCCCAGCTACTTGGCAGAGATTAGGAAAATCATAGTTAAAGGCCAGCCTTGCAGAAAGCTAGGGAGACCTCCCTCCCCATCTCAACAAATAAGCTAGGCATGGTAGATCACGATCTAAGTCTGACCATGAGACTCTATCTGAAAAATGACTAAAACAGAAAAGGGCTGGGGGAGTGCCTCAAGTGGCAGAGCTCCTGCCTAGCAAGCATGAGGCTCTGAATCCAAACCCCAGTTAAAAAAAAAAAAAAAAAAAAAGAAACTCACAAAAACAGAACAAAAAATTTCTGGAAACTATTTCACTTGCATAACTGTAGAAGAGAAAAACTGGATCTGGGTTCCATGTCAAGACAGGTGTGCAGATGTCATTTCCTACAGTGAGTATATTCTCTCTTACATGCTTTCTTGCAGAAATCACCATTCTGGAAAGTTTGATTTATTTTCTTTAAATTATCATATTACTATTGTACTGGGGGCACATGTGACATTTACAAAAGTTTTTACAATATCTCATAGTTGAATTCACCCCCTCCATCATTCTTTAAAGTTTGGTTTTAATGTGATGTGGCTATCCCAGGAAGGACTTTGTGTTTAGTAATTTAGGAAGAACCTGCGAGTAGCTCAAAAAGCTGCTTTCCTCTTCGTGGAAGTAGCAGAAGATGAAGCCTGTGGAATTGTAAACAGTCTTTTTCTCACACATCTAGTCACTTGCTTCCTGGGATCCAATGTGCTTGTTCTCTACAAAAGCCTTTCTGTTGTCTTTTTTATGCCTTGTAAAGGTGTCATTACTATTATTATTATTACTTGGGCCTCCAATTAATCATCAAAAAATTCCTTGATTAATGAGAAATTCTAGAATGGGAGGGGGTGGTTTGAGTGACACTTTGTCCCAGCCTTCGTGAGACACTGCTCTTGCCCATACACAGCACTTCTCTAGTGACTTCAGGTGTGAAGGAACCTCAGATGAGTCTTCCTGGGACAGCACTGAGTACCAGCGCAGTGCAGGTCTGCCCTCCCCATGTTGACTTCTGCCTTTAGATATGACAGTATCACTGATTAAGTTGAGGCAGCCCCATTCTTTGGTTTGATAGCTCTTCGGATAGCTGTCTGCTGCCTCCACCTCTTTAAAGAGTGAAGCCTTGAGTGCTGGAGTTCAGCAGCTCAGGGCCCCATGTCCCTCCTGAGGAGTCCTTAGAGCCTTTGGGTGGGAGGTAAATCAAGCCTCTAGACCTAATATTCATTGCTTATTTCCTTGTTGAGCTAAGAAAAAGAAAATGTAGGTCTAAACACAAAAAGGAAATGAGGGCCTACTGTGGTGGTGCAGGTCTAGAAGATGGCAGAGAAAAGGTAGAATGGTTTCAGGCCAGCCTTGTCCAAAAAAAAAAAAAAAAGTGAAACTGCTGTCTCCCAAAAACAGTCTTTGCTTAATAGCTCACCTATAATCCCAGCTGCTAGGAGGTGGGCAGAGGTAGGGAAGCATAACGTCCTATCTGAAATATAAAACAAAAAGGGCTGGGAGCGTGGCTCAAGTAGCAAAGGGCTTGCCTAGCAAATGTCAGGCCCTAAGTTCATTCCTCAGTATAGTTCAGGGTGTGTGGGGGGCAGGGGTGGTGCTGGTGGCTTACGCCTGTAATTCCAATCACTTGGGAGGCTGAGATACAGAGGATTGATGTTCAAGGCCAGCCCTTGCAAATAGTTCTTGAGACCCCATCTCCAAAATAGCCGGAGCAAAATGGACTGGAGGCATGATTCAAGCAGTAGAATGCCTGCTCTCCAAGTGCAGAACCCTGAGTTCAAACCTCAGTTCCACCAAAAAAAATGAAAGAAAGAAGAAATTAGCTTTTGCATAACTTGGAGGGGAGAGTGAAACATCTGCCTAAGAGTCTTCAGTAAAGAGACAGTGTCCCCATATCTTGTTTTTCTTAGTGTCTAAAGCACCTAATTCAGAATTGACCTTTAGTAATAATTTGAGCTAAGCTGTGTTTTTTCCCTATAAAAATGATCTCAACACACATATTCTAACCGAGAACCCCCATGGATTAAATCTACTTTATATAGTTCAGGGTCCCCTTCATGGGCCTGAATCTTTTGGGCCAGCCATCTCTCCAGAGCCAGCTACAGCCCTGCCCTCCACAGAATCAGGAAGTGAGGCATTCCTAGCATCCACAGGCATTCTCACATGTATGTCAGCTTCCAGTCCTATAGGAGAGAGAGCTGAGGGTCCAGTGGGGTGTTTTCCCTCTCCCTGTCCTGCAGCACTCTTCCCAGCCACCGTAGAACACCTAGGGAGAACTTGGAAGCCCTCACAGAATTGCACCATT